TATGGTCCAGGTGTAGTTTCTATGGTCCAGGTGTAGTTCCTATGGTCCAGGCGTAGTTCCTACAGTGAGAAAGACTAACACATAAGGATATAAATTATTACAAATAAAAACAAAGAATAGAGCAAGTAAAGACAGTGGCAGAGTGAAGAGATATGGTCAGTTTGTCCTTCAGCAATCTAAGCCTATAGCAATATAACTAAGGGATAACTCGGGAAACCCAAGCCAACCCTAACTATAGGATTTATCAAAAAGGAAAGCCTTAAGCAAGTAGATAATGTGTCAGCCTCATGGAGAGAAACTGGAAGTTGGTTCCACAAGAGAGGAGCCTGATAACTGAAAGCTCTGCCTCCCATTCTGCTTTTGGAAACTCTAGGAACCACAAGAAACCTGCAGTCTGAGAGCAAAGTGCTCTGTTAGGAAAATATGGAACAATAAGATCAGTACAATAAGATGGAGCTAGGTTGTTGAGGGCTTTGTGTGTTAGAAGAAAGATTCTGAATTTGAATGGGATCTTCTTTTAATTATCTTTTTGATTTAAATCACTTGTAATTGTTGTATTTTAATGTTTACAAAGCAGTTATTTTGGGATTTAATGTACACCACTTTTAGTCAGCTGTTGTTGTATTACATGCGCTTTCTAAATAAAGTTGATTTTGTTTACATTCTCTGTAAAACGTCCTGTTTTTGGTGTGAAATCCCGTGTTAACATCTATATGATTAATTTAGAATCACTATTTGTTCTTTTCATTTGTTTGATCACAATGAACACAAGACCCAGCTGATGGTCTGTACCTGGATCTGGGTCTCCTGCTTTGGTCTCCTTTCACTCTGCGGGATCTGACCCCATCTGGTGGCACCAGCAGGCTGCTACAACTCTTGAGGGTAACGTTCCCTTTCCAAGTGTTGTGTTGTTTAAATAAAACAGTCATTTATACACAAAAAGTTTTTTTGTTTTTTTTTTTACATAGAAATCAAAACTATTTCCATTCTACTTTACTAAAGTAAAGGGTAACGTTCATCTATATCACCAACCTTAAAGTTGTGGTCCTTTGCTCTGTCGGTTTGATCAGAATACCCTTTCATTTTAGTTTTGTATTCGTTGTGATGGTTTCTGATATCTATCGTTTTCTCTGTGCCATTTGGAAATCCACATTCCTCCTCCATGTTGGGACACTTTGTGCGGATATCTCGTCCAAACATGAGCATAGCTGGTGTTTCTCCTGACGCTCTGTGTGGTGTTGATCGGTGTGCCATTAATATTTTTGGAAGTTCCTCTTGCCATTGTTTTCCTGTGCATTCAGTTGTTCTGGAGGCTTTCTTCAAGTAGCTGCGAAACCTCTCATAAGGTCTGAGGTGCTTTATTCCACATGACTTGAGAAATAATTCAAATAACTGTTCTACAAACCGTCTACCATTATCAGTAACAGCCTCTTGGGGATAACCAAACCTTGCAAATATTTTGGTCAGTTCTGAAATGACAGTAGCTGAGGAAATATCTGGAACAACTCCAGCCTCCAGGAAGGAAGTATAACAGTCTATCACAGTTAACACATATTGGTTTTGGATAGGACCTACCAGATCAATTCCTATCTTTGTCCATGGTCTTGGTGGTAACTCTAGTGGTTGATCTTCATGAAGCGGCTGATTGAGCATGCAAGCGGAGCAGTTTCTATCAGTCTCTCTACATCCAAGTCCATGTTGGGCCAGTAAAATTTGCTCCTTAAATATTGTTTTGTACGAACCACTCCTTGGTGAGTTTCGTGCCCAGTCTCCAGTGCTTGCTTCACCATTGCTCTTGGTAAGTACCGTCCTGTGTCCTCTCAGCACAAGTCCCTCATATATTGCTGAACTCTCCAGCACATCTGTTGCATGTGAATCTGAATTAGCTGCTTCCATCTTTTTCTTTCTGTAAATGTATCACTCTTCTTTTCTGTGTGTACTTTACTTTTCTTCTTGAGACACACGCGTGCGTAATGTCCTGTTTTCTGATGAGAGAGGCACTTTGCTGTCTTGGCTCCACGGTCATCTGCAGTGAGTGTCCAGTCCACATCTACAACACTGGGTGTTTTTAAAAGAGAGTTTTAAAACTCTCTTTTAAAAACACTGGGTGTCGCTCTTTGCTGCATCTCAGTTCATTCGTTGTTCCTGTTTTACTGTCTCGAGCTGCGCGCATGCAGGAACCTGCTTGTCCTCTGCTTCAAAAGCTCTTGCTGATGACAGTGCTGTGTCTAAACTGAGCCCATCCTCCTGCAACAGTTTATCACGCAGCTTTTTTCATGACACATTTCTCCACTATCTGATCTCGTCTCATGTTCTCCCGCGTGCCAAAGTCACATGATTTTGCCAGTTCTCTTAATGCATTAACAAAAGCATCCATGGACTCTTCAGGGCACTGAGCCCTCTGTCTGAACTTGTCTCTCTCCAGGACTATATTTCTCCGCGGAGTAAAATATGCCGCGGCAACAGCCTGAGCGCGTGCACCTTTTTCTCCCGGTGTGTAGGCGCTCCTGTAAAGTGCAGAGTGGCTCTCCTCACCAAATCCTGTGCATGAATAGTCCCACTTGCAACTTCAAAGAAGCAGTAAGAGTTCCTTCCACAGTTTGTACTCCGTGAATAAATCCCACGCTCCAAGGTTCAGTGGAACCGGCGCGACCAGTTGCGCGTAACTGGGACCAGGTAGCAGCTTGTTGCTGACCATTATCCGACATGGCTCTGTCTCAGTTGTCCTTCTTTGCCTCTGGGTTCTTGACAAACGTCCTCCTCGTCACCAAATGTTGCGTTGTTTAAATAAAACAGTCATTTACTGTCTTCTCTCGTCTCTGGTCCGACTAATCTCGCGATAACAGTAACTTTAACTAAACCAAGTTAAACTACCCAGGTGGACCCTTCCTGGATGGACATCAGGACCAGTTCTGAATGTCCCACAGCGTGGATGAGTTAACTAAGACAATTCCTTAAAGGAGAAAAGAAACTCAAGGAATAAATTAAGTTTTAAACAAAACCTCCCAACATTTCAGATTTTACATTCAGGTTCATTTTGTTTGTTAAAGAAAATAACTCGGTGATGATCAAGACCAACGAACACCACCAGAGTTTGTGATGGGACGACTCTCAGCTGCCGCACCACATTTTAGCTGATTATCTGTAACAGTGGTTGCTATGGCTGGTTAGCTGTGGCAGCCATTTTAAATCCAAAGGTTCAGCAGTTGTAGAGGATATTTAAAGACTGAGCTGTGACAAGAAGTCCAGCTGTCAGGCACGGTGGTGGCAGCATCATGCTGTGGTACAAAGTCAGGAATACCTCCAAATTCTTCATCTTCACTTGAAATCCACAGACGGATGCAACTTGGTCCAACAGAACTAGCTAAATATTAGTGGGAGTGTTTGTTGTCATGGGGTCTACAAATATATATATATATATATATATATATATATATATAGCTGCTTTGACTCCGCAGGGTCAGGAATCTCGGTCAAAGTCTAGCCTAGACCCCCTCCCCCACCATAATGGAGCCTGTCAGTCTGACTTGAGGTTGTGGACAGGTGACAGGTGAGTCAGGCGCTGCAGCAACGTTATCACTGTGGAGCATTTTGAGTTCAACAGCAGCTGAATTCATGTCTCTGATCACACAAACTGTGAATCACAAACAGGATCTGCCTCTGAGATGGGGGTGGGCTGTAAATCAAACTTAAGACCATCAGTTGGACTGAGGTCTGGACCACTCCAGAACCTTTAAGAGTTGAGACTTCGAGAACCTGGTTTAAGGGGGTGGCCATGTTGTATTTTTGGAGTTGGTGGAGTTGCGAGTTTTAAGCCACGCCCACTCCTCCGCTTATAATCCAAGAGTTTTTATATTAAATACATTTTTACAGTGAAAAAACAAACATATTTTAAACATCCGGCACCAAAATAAGAACTATGATGTCTTGTGGTAAAAAAGTCTGAACAGTACTTTTTTTTTGTAAACCATTCAGCCTGCAGGGGGCGCACTCGCTGTGCTGGCTTCAGCTTCCACTTTAGGTCACTGTGTCTATTAACATGTCAGGGAGCGGCTCCATGAGTTATTTAAACGGTTTTATTTTAATACAGTTCCACAAAAATAAGACAAAATAGCTCAGTTCTCAACCAGGAAGTTTATAGTTTATTTTCTTTTTGTCTTAAACATAAAAATAAAACATTAAAGGCTACCACTTTACAATAAATACACTTTTATAACAAATTTATATTTTTACTTACTAATGGTTTATTAAGTGTCTATTATTTACCCAACTATAAGGAGACGTTTTTTATTCAGAGAGCAATATTTTAGCGTTCAGCTGATGTTCTGCTGGTTTTAGCTTTTAGCTGCTTTTTGCTTTTAGCTGCTGTTCTGTTGGTTTTAGCTTTTAGCTGCTGTTCCATTCCTTTTGGCTTTAATTTGATGCTCTGTTGGTTTTAGCTTTTATTTCATGTTCGGTTGATTTTAGCTTTTAGCTGTTGTTCTGTTGGTTTTAGCTTTTAGCTGCTGTTCTGTTGATTTTAGCTTCTAGCTGCTGTTCTGTTGATTTTAACTTTTATTTGATGTTCTGTTGATTTTAGATTTTAGCTGCTGTACTGTTGGTTTTAGCTTTTGTCTAATGTACAGTTGGTTTTAGCTTTTAGCTGCTGTTCTGTTGCTGTTCTGTTGATTTTAGCTGCTATTCAGCTGACATGTCGAACTGCAGTTTAAATGAAAATTCTGCAGATTTGAGTCGAGTCGTATTTTTAGTTTCTCTTTTAAAGTCCAGGAGCGCGCGAGCTGAACTTCAGCTGAGAGTTGATGAACTCGGAGCCTCGCGGCGGCCCGACGGGATCCGGGGGTTCGGAGCGGGTTAGGATGGGAGGGGGTGCAGAGGGCTGGACCTGCAGGAGGAGGAGGATCACATCAGTCTGCAGGTCATCACCACCTCCTCCTCAGTCTCAGCTCGGCTCTCCTCCACGCGCTCCCACCTGGATCCAGGACGCCCGAATCGTGACGGAA